CCCCCCCCCCCCCCCCACTTACACAGGTCAGTGGAGTGAATGAGAAGCACTGAAGATATCAGCTTATCTATCTTTTCTCCTCTGACAGCTAGCTGCTTACAATAAACTTACACTCAGAGCATGACTCCGAAGGTGCTCCTGCCGGGTGAAGCGCTTGCCACACGTCTCACAGGGATAGGGTCTTTCGCCTGTGTGGGAGCGGATGTGCCGTTTTAGTATTCCCTTCTGCTTAGCCGTGTAGGGACAGAATGGGCATTTGTGGAGCTTGATTGGCACAACTAACACATCACCTTTTAAAAATAAAACACATTATTTTAGACAATATGGCCCAGTTACCTAAGCTGGCCTCTTACTCTCCTTGCCTGCAAGCTGGGGCCAGAATACTCGCATCTTTTCCACTGTTTCTGCTCACTTGGAATTTGTGTTCTGTTTCTAATGTAATGCTCTTTTGAAAGAGTTTATGGAGCTGGAGGTGCTCAGTCTCCTTGAAAAAATGAGACCATATGTAGACATACAGTCCAGTCTTTTAGCTTATTTGGCTGGAGATGGAAGGACATAAATTTTGCAAAACCTCATTTAAATTGCCAAAATTTGTTTTGGAAGCAATGCTCTTTAAACTACCTTTCATATTCCATCCTTTGAAAATCTTCTGTTGCTGTCTACATTTCCTTTTAAAAAAGGATGCACTGGAAGCTAGTTTTAAAGGGCACAAATAGCAGCAGAGAATTTTTACCATCTGCACCTACAACATGTCACAACTTAAAAAAGAAGGACCTTCCCAAGAGGGTAATTATGCCTGTGCCCCACTGAAGTCTAAGTCTTTCTACAGAACTAACAAAAAGATTCAGAGTAGGCAGACACAAATAATAAACATAAATAAAATGTCTAAGGTGAGAAGATGCCAAAATTGCTCACTGAATTTGAAGATTACATATAAAGTCAAAATGGGCAGCACTGAACTTAGTTATAGCAACCGACATACGACTGAAAATTAGTATCTTGTATGAAATAACCACAATGAGAAGTACATTAAAAGATTAGAAGGGGGGGTTGTTGTTTTAGGCACTGATTCAGAAAAACTTATGCACATACTTAAATGGGACTCTTGATGAGCTTAATCAATGGGGATTTACTGCATTGTGTGTCAAACACTTTTGAACTTGGCTCTAAAAATTAAGTATTTTTACAATGAATATGAAAAGCAGTAAGATCTTGACAATTCACATGTAGACATATCATGCTTTCAGAAGCATGAGGGAGAGAAATTTCTTTAGTTTATTTGCTAGTACCAAGATCAAGCTTTGTGTAAGAGTATGCTTGAAAATGCTGATAACAAAAGCACCTAAACCAGTGAAAAGAAGAGTTTTTTGTCCTACTTCAATGTTAAAACAATCAATTTTCACAAGAGTAAGAATCCTAAAAACAGCAATTTCCTCTCCTCCCTGGTTTAAGTGATACGTTTCTAGTCTCAGATTTCCAGTGCATATTGTTAATTACTGAAGAGCTTTAGGGTTTATATGGATTTAACTTTTAATGCAAAATTAATAAAATCTAAAAAAAAAATTACCTGAAAAACATGAATGGGACACCAATGTTACTGTGTTAGGTAGAGTTCTCCACTTTACTACATCATTCTGGGAGCAAAAGATAAGATTTGTTGACAGTATCATATTACACTAACATTTTTTTTTCCAGTTATTCTAAACTGACTTACAGTTAATGACTTCTGCCAGATGAATGTTGGTTCATTGAGCAAAAGACATGGACCTGGTGTTCTTGAGCTAGAGGTGGCATGAATGTAGGGTTACCTTCTAAATATATGTTAAAAGTTAAATTTTTATTGTTTATCCCATTACTCATTAACTGGTATATTAAATCACCATAAGAACCAACATGTGTATCAGCCAAGAAATAGGACCCTAAGAAGACAGTTTTTAAGAAATAAAGCTAGTATCTGGGAAAAGAAATAGTGATCCAATTTTACTACAACCAGATGAAAGCCCCAAATCCTTAATGTCCATTTCAGGAAATGTGTATATTATATTTACATGAGCTTTTTCTTCTTCTTCTTCAGGTCCCTGAAGTTGCTGCTACATAGCCTTCCTGCTGATGCTGAAACATCCCAGCATGCATTGGGCTAGTGAAAGCACAAGCAGCAGCCCTGATGATCAGCACTGGAGAAGGGCGTCTGCCTCTGGAGGAAAAGGTAAATCCAGTTTTATTCAATACTGAGCAAACTTTTAAGGTTTCCAATACTCTTACCTGATAGGATATATAATAGAGAAAGTTAGCAGCAAAAATTCAAGTAGTACTTAGTATTGAATAAAATTAACGGATTTCTGACATCTGAAGTTTGAAACAAGCATCAGCAAACAAACATCAGCCGCCTGGCAACTGGCCAGCTAGTAAAAACTCCATTAGAAGCATCAGTAAATACCATCTTTTTTCACATACAACACAGCTTGGAATGTAATCCATGCTTTGGTTTTGAAAGGCAGGATGTTAAAAAAAAAAATAATATTCCCCTTGTAGTAACAGAGTAGCAGCAGCCAGGGAGCCAGCCTGCTCATTGTGTCCCTGCAGATCACTCCAAATTCTATTTCGTCTCACCCAGCACGCAACAGAGCCTACTCTTACTCTATTTCTTGCATACAATGCACACTTCAGTTTCCAGCAGCTATTTTGTGGGGAAAAGATGCATGTTGTATGTGAGATGATATGGTATTTTGTCTCTCCATTTCTATAACACACCTGTCTTGAAGTTCTCTCAAACCATCCTTCTGAATTTATAACACGTCTTCACACTAACAAATTTATGATGTAAAGTTTCTCTTTTTTATGTTTATCCTCCATTGCAGTATTTTCCCAAATAACATTATTTGATGGTGAAATAGTCTGGAATTCAATACGAGCTAGGTTTTAAATCAGAAAAACCTACCTTTAAAACTATTGCACTGAAAAATGAGTGCAGCTTTCTTTTGAAGTCCAGAACTATAGTTTGTTTCACTATGGCATAAAATTCAGCAATACCTTCCTGTAAAGTATACCAAACAGCAACTGAAAATCAGCTGTTCAATAAACAGCAAAAGCCTTTTATGCATAATCAAGCACTTCTTCCACCTTCACACCACTATTCCACAGTCACAGGGATTCTCATCTCACCTGTATCCTCACCGTACCAGTCGCTGTGAATGTCCATCATGGAACTCATGGCCACCCCTGCATCCTCTGGCCTACCCTCAAAACCCCGAACAAAGTGATGGACTACATCGTCTTTTCTCTGAGCGGTGCTATTGCGCAGCAGGGCCTCCAGGAACTGCTTCATATGATAGTTATTGCAGGCCAGATCCACGGCCTGACCGCTGTGCAGCCCCTCTTCCATCTGCTCAAGAGACAGTGGAGTTGGATACTGCTGTAGTCGTTCACTCACTTCCACTTCCACTTCATCCGAGTCAAACTCTACTTTGGGTTCCACCCCTTTGGGCAGCGAAGAATTAAGGTCGTCAGGGGAGTCGCTGCTCACGGGGTCTCTCACCACAAGTTCCAAGGGGTGGCAGCTGCTGCATTCACCGCAGGGAGGATCTCTCTGACAATCTGAAAGCCTTTCCTTTTCTTGCAGAGAAGAGACGGAGGCCGAGCACTGGTTCTTTGTACCATAAGAGGTGCCTTCTCTGGCAGAACTGGAGCTTCCACTATCAGCCTGATAGAAAGCAGCTTCTCTCTCTATTTTCCTGCAGATATCTAGAGATGACCTGATGTACGTTTTGCAGAAGTTAACCACATCAGTCATCTGCAGGTAGCTAGCTGCAGACATGACCTCGATAACATTTTCCCCACAGAGGTCCAGCTTCCCTGAATAAAGGAAATCTAAGATGATGGAGAAGGCCTCTGAAGTAACAATGTCCAAAGAAGCAGTGCTGTGTCGTCCGCTGTCTTGAATGTAGTGAATCAGTAAGGCTCGGAAGTAGCCACTGTTGGCAAACAAAATGTTCTTGTGTGCTTTGAAGATCCTGCCTTCCACAATAATGCTGCAGTCGCAGAAAAAGTCCCTCTTCCGTTGCTCATTGAGCTCCCCCAGGAGCTTGGTGTAGTAGGACTGCATCTCCATTGCTCCTGCTGCTTCTGGTCACTGTCCAGAGGAAATACAAAGAGAAAACATCAGAAGAGAAATTCCTCCCCCTCTGCACGCGCAGACAAAACTTGCGGGCGGCACTCCCAGCCAGCGCACCCTTCCTTCCAGGCTTCCTCCCAAGAGCAAAAGCCCGATCAACAGCCACACTTGGGTCCTTCCAAACCAAACTCACTTTCGAACCCCTTGAGTTGCCCTATAGCAACAGCAACAGGACAACTCACGGGGTTTGAAAAGGATTTCAGGAGGATCTTCAAAGCGACACGGCGCTGACCACATCCAGAGAGGCAACCGTTTCTCGTGTCTCACTGTCTCGAACAATGCGGCAACCCATAACACAGGCGAGCAGAGCTTGCGGTGTGCCCCCGACTGCTTCGGAGGATCACAGCGACCCTCCCGCGGGCACTGTCTCGGCACCAGGGAAAATCCCCGCTCGTCCTGAGGAAGTTTTGCGGGGGGGGGGGATAGGAAAGGTCACCCCTACACCGGGGGGCGCGGACACGGCGCCCTCCCTGGCGGGGCCCGGGCTGGCCAGCATCGCCCCTGCACCCCAGGCAGCAGGTGCCGGCATCCCCGCCCGCCTGGACCCCGCTGCGGGCCGGGGGAGGCGCGGGCTCTCTCCGCTTCGTCCTCTCCCCCCCGCCGCCGCC